AGCGCTCCCAGGGTGATGCCATGGCGACGTACAAATGAACTGACGAATAACGGTCCGCCAAGGATCAACATTGATAGCCACAGAGGTTATTATTGACATCAACTGACTGTATTGCACTAAAACAATCATGTCGGTATCAGAATTATCTCAACATTGGGGTGTTTCATTACGGATGAAAATATTGCCATAGTAACGCCTATGGCGGACATGCTCGCCTGCCCACTCGTGTGCACGCATGCATTCTCGCCAGAAATGTGTACCTGTGACGACAGTAGTTTAAAAATCATGAAATCTGCTTTTTTTAGTCTTGGGATACTCTTGGCTGCTGCTGTGGAATTGTTTGTGTTTTTCGTGCTGCTGTGCTGTCCACGGCTGCTCTTGTAGGCGTATTAAAACGTTGTACCCATATGCACACATCAATCCCTGGCCACAGCTTTGGAACTGTTTTCCTTCTTGCTATGTCCTCATCCTCTTTTCACATTGTTTTCGTTGCTGGGTTCCCATTTCTCTTTGCCACGCATACTCGAATGTGCCACGCATACTCATCCGGCAATCAATCTAATCACGTGCTTTGGGTTATTTGCTCTTTTGAATTTGATTTGGGTCGGTGGCTCTCTCTATCTCTGCCTCTCTCCTTCTCTCTGCCTCTCTCGTTCTCTCTGCCTCGGTCTCTCTGTTTCTGTCTCTCTCTTTGTCTATGTGCGTGTCTCTCCCCCCCCCCCCGCCTGTTTCTCTCTGTCTCTCGCTCTCTGTCTCTCTGTCTTTCTCTGTCTCTGTCTCTCTCTCTCTGTCTCTCTCTCTCTCTCTCTCTCTCTCTCTCTCTCTCTCTCTCTCTCTCTCTCTCTCTCTCTCTCTCTCTCTCTCTCTCTCTCTCTCTCTCTCTCTCTCTCTCTCTCTCTCTCTCTCTCTCTCTCTCTCTCTCTCTCTCTCTCTCTCTCTCTCTCTCATTCTCTCTCTCTCTCTCTCTCTCTCTCTCTCTCTCTCTCTCTCCGATGCTCTCTCCAATGCTCTCTCCGATGCTCTCTCCGATGCTCTCTCCGATGCTCTCTCCGATGCTCCCCCCCCCCTGACCCACTCTCTCTTTCTTGCACTATTTTGCACTCTATGTTTATTTCTGTCCGTCGGTCTATCTATCTGTATATTCGCCATTCTCTACGTCTCTCTCTCTCTCTCTCTCTCTCTCTCTCTCTCTCTCTCTCTCACTCGCGCACACCACACACACACACACACACACACACACACACACACACACACACACACACACACCATTGGACCATTGGACGCCCATCGCCAGAGGCGATGATAGCGATGCTACAGCAGAAGCCATAGCAACTTGTGCTGGGATTGCACCATTCAACAGCTTGCAAGGCTGAAGAATTGGCCGCCACTATTCAGCCTGGTCTACACCACACAGCTATGAAGTGGCTTTTCTGGCCAGTGAATCCCTACTTTTTGGTCTTTTTATTTTTTTCCCGCACACACATCACACACACACACACACACACACACACACACACACAAACACACACACACACACACACACACACACACACACACACACACCATTGACCATTTGACCATTTGACGCCCATCGCGATGCTTGCAATGCTACAGCAGAGGCAATAGCATCTTGTGCTGGGATTGCAAAATTCAACAGCTTGCACGGCTGAAGAATTGACCGCCACGATTCAGCCTGGTCTACACCACACAGCTATGAAGTGGCTTTTCTGGTCAGTGAATCCCTACTTTTTGGTCTCTTTCATTTTTTCCCGCACACACATCACACCACATACATGTACATGTACTCCAGCATGCACTGGCTGTTGGTAACCACCCAGGAGAATGAAAGAAAAGTCAGAAGGAGTTTGAGAAAGAGAAGAAAGACTCTCGCTCTCTCTCTCACACACACACACACACACACACACACACACACACACACACACACACATTCTCTCCTGTCTTATTATTATTTGTCCGTTTTTACATCCTAACTGACCTACATGCAAGTTACTTGTAAACACTCAGGGAAAAGTTGCCTTACTCTAGGACAAGTACATGATTGTGCACGCTGCAGCGCTGAGGCAACTCGTGAGTGCAAGACCACACGCAAACACCCTACAGCCTACAGGTCTTCGTAAAACTGCAGGACGTGTCACGCAGGCGGTGATCATGATGATGTCAGGTGAAACCTCAGTACCTGTCCTGAAAAGGCACCATTGTTGCGGTTATAAAACCAATAGTATGACTATGGACAGTACTGAACTCTATAGTAATGTATTCGTCAGTAGCATACTATTATAGCACTAAAGTAAAAAGCCAGGTATTGAAGGCGAGTAATGGCAGGCTCCATTCCAAGGCTGCGGCCGTCTCACTTACGGGTTGCGAGCGGACGCATCACTTGTGCAAGATCGACGTGGTCCAGACACTGAGACGGGAGGATAGCTCACTAGTATGAAGGTCCCTGTCTTGTCTGAGTAACCAGATAGCGTTACATGTACAGCGAAATCTGTCAATGCGACCACTCGGATAAGGCGACCACCTGTCCTAGAAGACCACTGAAACCAGGTCAAAGGGAAGCTTTTTACAGTCAAATGACCCTAGATAAAGAGACCACCTGGTAACAGAGACCATTCTTTGAAGGTGCATTGAGCGGTCGCCCTAGACAGGTTTCACTATAGCTTGTAGCTTGTACCCTGATGACCAGACAATCAGACACTGCAATGGCTTTTCCGCCCTCTTCACGGATAACTACCGATTGGTACGTGTAGTGTTACAGCACCATAGCGAGAGTGGAGAGGGAATTGCCTTGGTGATCATTCACTCATAATATTATGACTTCTAGTGCTGCCTCTGCAGCCCCCTGCCTACATTAACCGCACACCTTGCTCACAACCTCCTGCCCACACCAGCCACTCATTGTTCGCTACCAGTACACTGCTAGCCCTGTCACTGCCTCTACAGCTCCCTGCCTACAACAGCCACACACCCTGTAAACAGCCTCCTCCCTAAAACACCACCGCTAACCCTGAAACCAGCCCCCACACGCACAGCTTTCCAGACTTGATTGCCCTTGTTGTCCTATGACTTCTAATACAGTACAACCTGTGACTAACGACCACCCCTTTGGGCCAGAGAACGCGGTCTTTAGTGGCAGGTGGCCCTTAGTTAGAGGTTTGCACCGCATAATCATAGGGAATGTGAGACCGTCCGTATCCATGGCATGCCTGGTGAAGTGGTCTGTAGTACCAGGCTGGTCGCTAGTCACGGTGGTCTTTAGCTACAGGTTTTACTGTAGTACCAGGCTGGTCGCTAGTCACGGTGGTCTTTAGTTACAGGTTTTACTGTAGTACCAGGCTGGTCGCTAGTCACGGTGGTCTTTAGTTACAGGTTTTACTCTACATGTAAATGTACAACAATGTATAATTTTTTTCTGGGGTGACGGCCTCCTTCACAACGCTGTATAATAAGTACATGTACATGTACTGGCATGCCTCAACCCGCATTGAATGACATACATGTACATGTACATGTACATGTACATGTATGTGCCCGCTCGCCATTCGGTATTGACTCGTAGGCATTGGCGGATAATGCTCGAAAAGGTGGCAGATTCTGCTCGAAAAGCAGTGAAATTGGCAGAACCATACAAACCTTATGGCGGGCAATCCCTCGAATTCTGCTCCATTTCTTTAGCCACATACCAAACATGCATGAAACTTACCTGAAAAAGTACCGAATTCTGCCAATTTGTCTGCCAGCATAATCCGCAAAGGCCTACAATGTACTTCCAGCCAGGAAGGGTCAAGGTTCAAGGTTGAACCTTCCAAGCTGGAAAGCTGTTGGTTTGCGCACCGGAGATGTGTTAGAGCTAGCACTCAGGTCGTTGAATGTCTCAGTAGCCTGTCTGTTTTGTGCCCTGTAATGCTAATAGAGCCATAAACAGTATTATTACAATGAACTTTATGAACTTTATAAAGGCTTTTAACGCAGTCTGGACAGTGTCCGGAATCCGGATGGCTGGATGGTCGCTACACGCGTGTGACGTAAACATCCACGGGCACTTTTACACTATCACCATGCAGTTTCTGACAGTCCGTGACTCGATGAAGCCGGGTGATGCTGCATCGGGCAAGGGCAAGTGCCGTGGCCCGTGGAGGCATGACTGATTTGTTGCCAAGGGTGCTTGTCCAGCGCTTCTAACACCAATGCGTCGTTGTGGCCTACTGGTAAGGTTCCAATCCAGGCTTACATTAAAAGTACAAAAGTACACAAAGTCATTATGTTTCATTCACGGGCTTGAGGTATTCAAACAGCAAACGTCTGAAGAAAAATAATGGCTACCACCACCTGGACTCGAACCAGGGACCTTCAATTTATAATCATCATGGTTGTAAACGTTTCTTCAGTACTTCTCCTTACTCTTCGATCCGCCGTGTACATGATTGTAGGCTGGACCTGTCACCACGGCAATGGCAATGCTACATATCACTGTACAATCATGTACCTGGAAATCTGATATACATGTACATGTACTAGCCCTGAAAACAACTACGTAAGTCGTTACGCTCCTCAAAATCACCATGATCATGACTGTAACACGACACTGATGCGTGGGCTGTCCAACAGTCAACACGGAGACTGATCTAGATAAGTAGATCTATGTACAGACACTGCACCCGGCTATCCGCACAACCGTAATCTTTGTGGAGACGCCGCGGCGCTCCTATGCTGGGTGGACCCTCGTATCGCGTCGTGGACGTGTGCTTGCGGACACACAGGAGACATATCGTGCATGCACGCATACCAACCGATCCGCGGCCGCAGACCTCATGCCATGGTCCCAGATCGGGACTCGGTCTGCAGACCAGCCAAGGCAAGGGTTGCATGCCATCAAACATTTAGGTTCCAAGTCCGCAAACTCAGCTGTTGATGTGGATCTACAGTCAGTGCACACACAGCCGCAGATCAACTGGTCAAGTCACCCGGCCCACACGATGGTCGTCGTGTCACTCTCAAACTCAAAGTAAAATTCTAAAAGACAATTTAGTGAGCTAGCTACCTAAACCCTCGATTCAAACCCCTATAATAGATCAGATTATTGCCTAAAATAACCGTGAATGTGCGGTGCTCTGCGATATTCTGGCACCACAATCCGAGAGTTGGGAGATCCACGCGCTTGTCGCTCAACACAGTGGTTTCGCTAGTGAATGGGGCACGCGAAAAGGAGGTGACCGTATATTGCTTGACTTGAATCAGCGCAAATCTTTCGGCGTCTATTCTATTTCCTACGTTCGCTCCCGGGTTAGTAATCGATATGGGTGACGTACCGGCGTGGAAGAAAGCAATCCTAGAGAAGAAGAAGCAGAAGGATGAGCAGGACGAGCGCAAGCGCAAGGAGGATGAGGCGAAGCTCTCTCAGCTGCCAGCATGGAAGCGCAGCTTACTTCTGCGAAAGCAAGAGCAGGACACGTCGTCTGGAAAGGCCAGCCCGCCTCTCAACCGGTCCGGATTCGCTGCCAAGCGGAAGGACTCGCTGCTGCGTGAACACGAGAACGAGCGCAAACAGATCGGTTCGGAAGAGAAAGCCTCGGCGCCTGCGACTGCGTCAGTGACGAACAGTAAGCCTCTGGGAGCAACTTCGCCAGCATCAGCAGCACCTGCCGCACGGGTTTCCACGACCTCCAGTCCACCGGCTGTGGACACCTCGGCTCGCGACAGAGCCAGCTCCGTAGGCTCTGACGATGGAACGGGAGAAGACGGTCGGCCCAAAACAAACGTCAAACAATTACTTGGAATGTTCGGCAAGCAAAAGTCAAAAGAACAGGACAGCAGCAGCAATACGCCCGCTGCCAAGGGTCCTGCAACTGTGGAAAAGAAACGACCTGGCAGTTTGAGTTCACCCGTAACACCAACACCACCAGCTGCCACTAAATCACCAGCCAGCAGTGCTCAATCCCAGCTAGCATCTTCCCAAGCCACACAGCCAACACAGAAGGACACACGGAGAAGCACTCTCAGTCGACCGCCAGCATCCAAAGACAAGCCCGACGGTGGACTGCCCATGTCTCTCGGCAGTATCGGCGGCGGCGAAGAAGAAGAAGATGACGTCGTTACCAACATTGATGACATCGTCCTGGACGCTACCAAGGTATCTGCGTACCAGTCACCGAAACGGCTGGCTGGGGTGGAAAGTCTGCCAACATCGCCGTCACGGGTGAAGAAGACCGGCTCTATTCTGATCAGTCATCCGCGTGCTCTAGCAAAGGTAAGACAGCATTGTGCAGTAGAGAGAACCCATGGTGTCTAGGCATTGGCGGATAATGCTCGAAAAGGTGGCAGATTCTGCTCGAAAAGCAGTGAAATTGGCAGCACCATACAAACCTTATGGCGGGCAATTCCTCGAATTCTGCTCCATTTCTTTATCCACAGACCAAACATGCATGAAACTTACCAGAAAAAGTACCGAATTCTGCCAATTTTTCTGCCGGCATTATCCGCATATGCCTATTGGTGTCACACACGGTTCGCCCAGTACAAACATGGTCATACCACTTTTCGTCCAGGATGATCCGCCCAATTCATCCAAAACGCAATAAAATAGGGATGAAAACGTGCCCTGTTTACCGAAAAACCAAAAACAATTCCCGGCGGGGACACCCCGCACAGCAGTCGCACTATTCCCCGCTGCTCTGTGACAACCCTGGAAAGTGTGGTGCTGCTTACGGAATTCAGAGGTTAATCCGATCGAGTCTAGGATGGGCCGGGCGCTGTGCGGCCCTATACTTGTGAACTCTGGGGTGTGAACTGGTGCAGGGCACAACGTGACTGGCACGGGTGAACTGGTGCAGGGCACAACGTGACTGGCACGGGTGGTACTGTCCATGGAAACTTAGCACATCCAACCAGTATACTGGGTTAGGATCGTGTTTTTATGATCATGCTGTTCACTAGTTATACATGTACATTGTATGTGCCCAGAGAAAGTCTGAGTCCTGACCAGCTCATACGCACATGCACACACATACATGTACATGCACGAGTATACATTATGTCATATGCACGTGCACGCGTGCACACACACACACACACACATACACACATACATTCTGTCCTGTCCTGAACTTTGCCGTAAAACGGTCCCATGACCCCTGAACGAGGGCCCGACAGGCAGGTTGAGTGAGTACTGTACACAGAACACTCAGTAGCCTAGCATCCAGCACAAAGACATTTACACATATGCACACATACGAATGCACACATCCACGTACACACACTCATGCAAACACGAATGCACACACACACACACACACACACACACACACACACACACACACACACACACACACGTGAATCCATGCACACACGACGGGAGTGTTCCAGCACCTGGAGCCATTCATGGTTCTATCTGTACATGTATGTTTGAAGAGCGTGTGTCCCGTGTGATGCATGGTAATCAATCCGTACTGGCTTAACACCTCCAAACGGCTTTACACTCTTCACAATGCTACCTTATGTGTATTCGGCCTTTCGCATTTCCTTTCCTTAGTCAAAATGCAATGTTGGAAAGCCTTGGCAATACTTCCGCTTCTGTCATGAAAGTCTTGTCTCTGTTCCATTGTGGGAATCCAACCACCAATTTCACTCATCTGTGCACAACTGGCGAATGAAAGTACAGAGCTGCTCGATGAAATATGATCGCGTGAATCAACCCCTGCACTGTGCACCAGTTCGCCATCCCAGTGTTCGCAGGTCTAGCGCTACCCAGCGTTCAATGTGACATTGACTCGCGTGATTGGATTTCAGTGAGCAGCACAAACAATGCTCAGTAAAACCTGTGACTAATGACTACTCCTTGGCGCCAGAGAAAGCGGTCTTTAGTGGCAGGTGGTCCTTAGTTAGAGGTTTGCAGCACACACAACCATAATTGAATGTGAGACCGTCCGTGCCTGGCGAAGCGGTCTGTAGTACCAGGCTGGTCGCTAGTCACAGTGGTCTTTAGTTACAGGTTTTACTGTAGTACCAGGCTGGTCGCTAGTCACAGTGGTCTTTAGTTACAGGTTTTACTGTAGTACCAGGCTGGTCGCTAGTCACGGTGGTCTTTAGTTACAGGTTTTACTGTAGTACCAGGCTGGTCGCTAGTCACGGTGGTCTTTAGTTACAGGTTTTACTGTAGTACCAGGCTGGTTGCTAGTCACGGTGGTCTTTAGTTACAGGTTTTACTGTAGTACCAGGCTGGTTGCTAGTCACGGTGGTCTTTAGTTACAGGTTTTACTGTAGTACCAGGCTGGTCGCTAGTCACGGTGGTCTTTAGTTACAGGTTTTACTGTAGTACCAGGCTGGTCGCTAGTCACAGTGGTCTTTAGTTACAGGTTTTACTGGACTTAGACACTGTTCATCAGAGGAAGAAAAGGTTAGAGGTGCTGCTCAACCACAGTAAAACCTGTCAAGGCGAGCACTCGGATAAGGCGACCACCTGTCCAAGAAAACAACTGAAACCAGGATCAAGGGATGCTATTTCCAGTCAAATGACGCTGGATAAGGAGTAGTGGTATGCACGGGTGGTCGGGTACCCGTGCTACCCGTGAGGACCTCGGGTAGACGGGTACAGAATAGTACCCGAAAACCCGAAGTCGCAGATGACATCATGTACCGTGAGTGCATGTGTACAAATTCATGTTATACTCCGCATGTCTACCCAGTGTGTAAGGGAAGGGGTGCATTGTGGTGTTTCCATGGAAACATTACCCGATCGGGTACCCGTACTAACCGTGGAAACTACCCGAACCTGATTTTCGAAGAAAATGCTACCCAACTCAGCCTTAATAAGGAGGCCCCCTGGTAACAGAGACCACGTTTGAAGGTCCCTTGAACGGTCGTCTTCACTGTGCGTTAATTCACTGACATGTTTCTCTCTGCGCAGGGCAACCGGGCGGTATCATTCGACGAGATCAACCTGGAAACGGTGCACACGTTCGAGAGAACTACCAGCTCTGATGAAGAAGAGGAGGAGGAGGAAGAGGTCCCAGACAGAGGTAAACATCAACCATATAATTATTAGACAATGACATCATCATTACCGGTATAAGCCATTGGCATAGAGTGCTATCACAAATCTGGTTTGTTACGCTACAGTATAATTATGTGCAGCATACACAATGACCTCATTTACAGAATCTTTCTAGACCCTGCCAGAATCTCCGGGCTGGTTGTTATTGCACGAATGCCTGGTTTTTGCTCCACAATGCGCTTATATCAGTACACAAGCACACCCGGAATGCTTGCCTCCCTCCATTTGTTGACACATCCCGTGGCAGTCGAGTTCACCACAACAAACTGCTCCAAGGCTCCGGCTCGTCCACCCATCGACAAACGCTCGTAGTGTTGTCAAAAGGATCCTTGATCATGCACAGCCTCTCAATGCACACTAACACACTTTGGATTGTAACGTTAATGCACTCTGAAGAAACGGTCAGCTAGTGATGAGGTCTGATTATCTGATGCTGTTCCCTTGCAAGCCTGAAGAGAACGAATTTGCCGGAACATGAGAATTGATCAAACGAGTTCAATACTAGTACAGAGTGAGTGCGAAAGAGCATGTCTGCTCTAAACTGTCCTTTTCCTCGTTTCTTTTTGTTCTCCAACTGTTTTCCAGTAGGGCTGTGTTAATAGTACAAAAAAAAACAAAAAAAAACACATCTGACTGTTCAAAATCTGGTTTAGTTGGTGGACTCGATCGCATCACTTGTGCCCACAATTTCCATGTTACAATAATATAAAAACTGCTTCCTATGGATGAAACTACAGGAATCCTCACCACTTTTACTACGGTGTTCCCTTTGTTTGCGTGTTCTATGTTTCAGGCCCACCAGCGCCGGGCTCCGGAGGTCTTCGTTCAGTACCGTCCATCGCTACCCAGAAGGGCGGCGGCAGCGGGGCAGTGAGCGGCTTCCAGGCATTCCAGCCCAAGTCACTGTCGGACAAGGCGGAGGAGCCGGCAGCGGCCGATGTAGAAGTGCCTTCGTGGCGCCAACAAGCGGCCGCAACGCCAACCAAGAAAGCCGAGCCCAAGGTCGACGACACCCCGGACATGGCTCGACAAGCCGACTTGGTCGTCGAGGACATAGAGGATGCTCCAGCGTTGCTGTGGTAAACGAAACACAGCTCCAAACCTCTCGCAAATTCTCATGAACTGCTGCAATGTGTTGTGACCTGGAGACTGGAATTGTCATTTACTACAACAGCGGGTGCCTCAATTCAGCCAGCACCCCCTGCAGTATTTATTGGTGGCTCTTGGGGTGAACGATTTTATTTTCAAAGTAGAAATTCTTGACCATATTCCATGACGAAGGTCATTTTTTCTCATGTTTCCGGCATTGCATTGTGAAGAGCCAGACCGAGAACTGGGAATAACAATTCTATTTACGTGTGTTTAAAAAAAAATCAAATTTATCTATAATTATTTTATTCAGTTTTGTACATAGAATCAAAATTTATAGTTCTCCTTGCATTGTGCATGTACATAAGGATATTCATCTATTCGTTGAAAAAGGACGAGTTTTCTCCTATGGTACGTTAGGAGTGTCATGACTTGGCACAGTTCGGTAGCCGGGTGTCAAGGAAGTGAGGCAGATTGAACGTAGATACACGCGAAGTCTTTCGTTATTCATTTTTCTGTGTGGCGGTATTATGTAACTCGCTTGGTATGTACTGTACCCTGATAAGACATGCATGATATCCCGCTGAGTACAGCACAGTGACAAGTGCACGCTTTCTCAACGGTAAATCGATACAAAATTCGGCACATGATGCTTCTGTGAGCACAGAATTTTACTTCTGGACTCATGCGGCAAATATTACATTAGAAAATCAAATACTGCCTGAGAATGCTGCTCAAGATATGATAACTATCATCAAGGAACACATCCTGAAATTCTGACAAGGAAATATTGCGTTCTATGAGTATGGTTCAGGCAAATGCACTCGCCTGGCTGAAATAATTAAAGTTTTTTAGAATCTGGCCAGCGTATCGATTCAAGAAAATTATTACTGAATTATTGAAGTACATCTGTGTGAAAAGAATCTTGTTAAAAGGTAGTAGTGTCCGTCCATCACCACTATGACCATCCCACCATCAATACCATGAAGGTGCAACACTTGGAGATACTAGTAACGTATTGTCAGCCTCAAATCACGGGCTGCGCTAAAACTCGGTGTCCGTGTAGCGTAATTCAGCCGGCCCTACCTCGCTTGTATCCTTATAAAAGTGGGTTGTTTGTAGATTGGGTATTGTCAGCCTCAAATCATGGGCTGCCCCGGCTAAAACTCGGTGTCCGTGTAGCGTATTTCAGCCGGTCCTATCTCGCTTGTGTCGTTATACACGTAGGTTGTCTGTAGATTGACACCGTCGGGGAGATCAAAACTCGTGCTCGTCGACACCGGCTCGCTGAAGCCGGCGTCCGACGGCAGTATTGTCGTTTCGGTACGCGTGTCCGTGTTGTCAATGGCAACACTTGCTGTTCCACCATCGCCGAGCGTTGCGTCTGTTTCATCCGCTGCTGTCTCTCCGAGAAGGGACTGGATATTGCCTCTGTGCAGCACGCATTATAACAGCAACAAACAGGAAAATCAATGGAACTGCCCATGCAATGGCCACGAGAAACCAACATAAAATGTCTTTGTTTTCAATTTTCTCAATTTATATACCAAACTGAAAACGAGTTTCTGAAATTTTAGGCGATCCAAATTTCAGGCATGAGGGCAAAAGAACAGGCTGGGCGAACAGACATTTTAGGTACAGAGAGGAGGAGGATGTCTACAGCACTGGGAGAAGCAGTTCCCAATGTTTGAATAGTTTACAGATGCATAGATTCGTCTCAGGGGCATTCGTCTAATCGTCTCATCACAGTAAGATCAAGGTACTGTATAGCAGGAAATTTTCGGACGGAATTTATTTTCGTACGATTTCGTACACAGCCTATTTTGTACTAAAATTAATTCCGTATTAAAATTTGCTGTTATGTACACTATACATGTACACGCGTGCCGCATGCAAACACGTGCATTTAGCATGAAGCACTGTACGAAAATAAAATCTGTACGAAAGGTCGAAAATCGGCTTTGTCCGAAAATATTTCCGTCTGAAAATTTCCTGCTATACAGTATACTCGTTCTAACCGAATCTGTTGGCCTATTATGTTGGCGTGGTCGCAAAAGGGTAATAATCCGTTCTTGCCTAGACAACAGATGCATGATTTGCAAACTAGAAACAATGAAAATCTACGGTGATAGAAAGGAGAATAGCGCATATCACCAGGACGAAGCCGGTGCAATGATTTCGCCAAGTCAACTTACGTGCTCTCCGGCTGAATACGGAGACGTCGCTGTCGCACAGTGTCCACCAGTGCGTCGTGTGCCTCGCTGGCCTCACTCCTGTCATTGCTAGCCATATCCACACTGATGTCAGAGGGTTCAGCTAGGCCATCGCCTGCGTCAGTGACTCTGGAAAGCGAGGAAATACACACAAATACACATACACACAGACACAGACATGCATACACAAACACACGCAAACACAGACACAAACACAGGCACACACACAGACATACACATACAGGATTCTACATCTGGAACAGTGTATGTGGCACACGTGTGCATAAAGGGGTGGGGGGGGGGGGCACGTGAGTGCATGCGTGCGTGCATATGTATGTTTGCTGTGTGTGTGCGCGTGTGTGTGTGTGTGTGTGTGTTTTCAAGTCCACGATTTCAGGGGGTGTCGGCCGTTGGGCGGTTCAATAACCAATCGAGTCATCTTTCCAAGATTCCTTTTGAGTCTCTCTCCCCTCTCCGGGGGGGGGGGGGGGGGGGGACTCACGTGACCAGTTTTGGCAGTGAGCAACAAGTACAAGTACAAGTGTGTGTGTGTGTGTGTGTGTGTGTGTGTGTGTGTGTGTGTGTGTGTGTGTGACCATACGCTTATGTGCTCTGTGTGTGCCTGCGTGTGTGCGTGTGTAGCAATAGCATGTTATGTTGAACAATGGCTTACCCGTGCAGCGGCGTGGACGTGAACAGAGGTATATCCAGTGCAGCGCCGTCCAGTGTACCCGTTCTGTCCCCTTCCTGTCCCTGATGGCTCTGCACTATCTTACGCGGCGAGTCACGGCGCTCCACAAACGGGCTCTCCGCCTGTGCCTGGCGAGCAGAGGAGGGAGGCTTGAGCGCTTGGACGGCCGGGTGTACTAATGGCAAGTCTTTGCTGACACTTACTGGTGACAGTGAAGGCGGTAGTGGTGGGGCTTGAGGGATAGTCCCTCGTTTCGGCGCCATCTGAACCATGTGTATAGTGCTGGATGCTGTTGCTATGCCGACATCATTAGGGTGCTTCGGCTCGGTGTGACCAGCGACGTCGTACTCCCCGGCAATCGAGGCCGAGTCCGAGTCGGTTTCCAATTGCTCTATGCCCTCTAGTATTTCGTCCACTTCGTTCACGACCATCCGTTCATTGTACTGCAGTGTGCCGCCCCTGCTCGCTCTCTCGCCCATTGCCTGCTCGCTCTCGACGGCTAGCAGTGAGCCCAGTCTAGCATGCAGTTGGTCTTCAACGGCCAGTTGTTGAGAGGCCGTCTAGAACAGTGGCCAAATTGCATGCACATACGCACACACAAATGGACACACACACACTCACACACACACACATACACACACACACACACACACACACACACACACACACACACACACACACACACCGATACGGAACCACCTTCATGAGCCTCAGCAGCAACATACTTTCATCCTGAAACCTCTGCGGAAAGTCGATCGTTCGTGCAAATCTTTGTGAAAATCGTTGCAGTACCTAGAAATATGCTGACTGTATCCGGCTTTTAGTTGATCTTTGCACTTACCATTGGAACAATCATCTGGCTGTTTTGATGCGAGAGTGACGGGTTGCAGTCGATGCTGTCAGAGTCGTCCGTTTGGTACATGGCCGCTCGGCCCTCACCGTCCTCTCTCAGCGGACCGGGGGCGTCATCATCCTCAGAGCCATTATCATCATCATCATCAGCAGTGGTGATAGCGTGGCCAAACGTGGAAGTGCCAAATTGATAGTGATCTATGACGCCGCCGTTCTGAAGTGCTTCGCTGCTCCCACCTGCCAAATGCGAGTCCTGCACAAGGAGAATTACGCCATGCACAAATATTCATGAGTTGAGGGTGGCGAAGACAGGGATAGCATCTGAAGAAACATCTGACTGTCCACACATGTATACCATCATTGCAGCTAGGGCTGAGTCGGGTAGCATTTTCTCCGGGTATCGGGTTCGGGTAGTTTTTCACGGGTAGTACGGGTACCCTATCGGGTAATGTTTCCATGGTAACATCACAATGCACCACTTCCCTTACACACTGGGTAGACATGCGGAGTATTACATGAATCTGTACATGTGCACTGTACATGATGTCATCTGCGACTTTGGGTCTTCGGGTACTATTCTGTACCCGAAAAACCCGAGGTCCTCACGGGTAGCACGGGTACCCGACTACCCGTGCACACCACTTATTGCAACCTACCTTCATGGCTTGATACTCCACCGGTGCCACTAGCTTCTCAAACTCATCGATGTCTTTTGGCTGCACCACTGTTCGTATCGAGTTCAACAGACGTTTCTGCCACACACAGACACACAAATACACCATAAACATCGGACCTTGGTGAAAGTCATATTATTGTTTGGCTATGGCAGGCGTGCAAGCAAGGGTCTTCCCCTATGTTTATCATCATGTCTACTGTTCAGCTGTAGGGATGCATTTGCTGTGGTTTCGAAGCATTGGACACGTCAGGATGATTATTGCATACAGTACTGTAGGTCGCCGAAGAACTGGAGGTCAGCCTCCTAGCTTAGACCATTCCTATTCTCATGTACTACAGTCCATGCACAGTTGAGTCACCGTGTATACACTGGTATCAGGGGCGTCTGAAGGTATTTTAGTGTGGCACGGTCAGCCACCTGAAATACAAATTACTCGTGGGGGAGGGGTGGCCGAGCCGAAATGTTTGGAATTTGTTTGCCCAAATCAGTGCATTTTATTTATTCACAGGGTGACAGGGTGACTGGGCAAAAAGTGGTACGGTCAATACCGTAGTGACCGTACCGTGTCCGACGCCCCTGGGTATGCTGTGCTTGGTGAAATTCTAGGCTGTTCGTTCTTCGGTACTCCGACAGTGCTGTACGTGCACATGCTAGTCGTAACCGCAGTCAATCCTGCATATAACCACCTTCGATTGGGCACGAGAAAATTTTCGTTATTCGCGAGTCGTCGCTGTCCACCAGGTTCCAAGTATACAGTAAAATAGTCACCAGATCTGAGGGTCTGGGTCTGAGGGTCTGAGGGTTGCGTCGAAGACAGCAAATTGTTGGTATAGAGGCTGTGTGAAAGGAGTTTTCATGACGAGTCAGCGGAATTGCGGAACCGCTTTAGGGTGCTAAGAATACAACGGAACCGCTTATGGGTGGTAAGCATACAGCGGAACCGCTTATGGGCGCTAAGCATACAGCGGAACCGCTTATGGGTGGTAAGCATACAGCGGA